CGAACGTCTTAAGCAGCTTCTGGTATGAGACGCGAACCTTGACAGGCTGGCCCTGCGGGCAATGCTCCAGATACCACTGCTTCACGAGGGGAACATCCTGGGCGCGCACCATCTTGCCGGAGCGCTTGTTGAAGGGATGAGGGGCCCACCAGAGGGCAATGGCGGACGCGGTATCGGGTGTATACAATTCCTCATCGGAGAAGAACGGCTCGAAGTCGCCAGGGAGCTCGAAGTCGTCCTCGTTGTTTCCTTCACCAAAGATCTCATCTTCATGGCTGACAGTGATATTCTTCGGCGCGACGGACCGGGAGGAGATGGGGTTGATGACGGGGTCGAAGTAGAATGCGGGGAGATTAGGGTCGTCTGTGCGGACATATACAACTTGAGGGTGAGAGTACCAAGAAACCTTTACGCTTCTCGGGAGGGTATTGTACAGGAAGGGGTAGGCGACGCGGTATTCCGTGCGGATAGGGGCGCGGAAGATGATACGATCGATGGCGTTGAATTCGCTGAAGTCCTCGTCATTGGGGTCGATATCCTTGTACAGAGGCTCGAAGCGAGGACCACCAGGGATAGCGACATTCAGTGCCTTAGCGGTGAAGAAACTGTTCAAGTCAAACATATGGAAGTAGTTCTGATCGACGACGTCACTCAGGAGCTGATGACTTAGTCGATACAGAGTGGCCATCTGCGGAAGTGTCAAGTTCCAGCTCTTGTAGCTCGGCCCATTGACATGGGGAGTATCCAGCAGAGGCCGGTGATCATAGAACCACTCATAGACAGGAGCATCCTCCGACTCATCAAGCTCCATCTGAATAGGTTCCAACGGCTCCACATCTTCAATGTTTTCCGACCACGATAGCGGAGGTTCTTCGTCGTCGAAAGGAGGGAAGCGCATTCTCTTGAAGTGTCTGCGATCACTCTTCTCTCGCCGCATACACACCCACATGGTAGCCCATTGAGCGTGAAACACGGGCTCAATGACACGAGGAGTCTCATTGACCAAGGTAAGGCAACCATTAACATGATACAATACCTTAACTTCCCTAGCCGATTCCCAAGGCATGGGCATGTTCTCCAGCAACTTCAACACAGCATGGGGCATGAACTTAAGCGCACCGAGGTAGCTGCGCTTCTCATTGCTGAACTTCTTTTGCGACACATCGCCAATGTCCCGAACAATCTTTCGCAGATGCTCCGGGGGCATATCAGCCTTTTGTGTTTCGACAAATCCACCCTTTCTCTTCTCGCCGAACCGGTTCCGTTGCGTCCGCAGCCATTCATTCTTCTTCTGGGCAAACTTCGCGACAGTCGGGTCCGCAGGCGGTTGATATCCCGGTGGCGGAGGAGCCAACGGCATCGACGGCGGCGCCGACGCACCCCAACCCGGAGGCGGAGGGGGAGGCAATGATGCCATGGTAATGGGTTGTATATATGAAGGACACTCTCTGCTCTGATGGACGGGCTGGAAGTTTCGTGACTAAGTCGCGTCAAAAGATGCACGGGTCGTGACTTATCGCGAGCTCATCGACTGCAGCTCAGCGACGCGAAAAAAAGGAATGGAGGGAGGGGGGAATTAAAACAAGTTGATAAAAAGAAATCGCGTCGGAGAAATGAAGCTTTGCCCCGAAGAAGATAAGACCACTCCTGGACGATCCCCTTCTCACGACGGGAAGGTGATAAGACAGCTTGCTCCAGTCTCTTCTTGCTTCTCCTGCCTTGTTTGATGAAGCAAGTCTGAAAAGAGGTGGCGGCTCTGCTCGGGCCGGTACTAGTCCAGATTGGGGTTAACGCGTTCTCGCCAAATTAGCGCTAGCGCGGCCGCCCAGGGCTCCGAGCGAAACCCACACAAATCCAGATTACCGCGAGAATTCTACGAGGTCAACGACGACAACCGACGACGCCGCCGCCAATCTCTTGAGACCACCGACCTAGAGGTTCAAGGACAGACAAAATGGCGAACAACAGACTCCAATACGTGAGTATATTTGAATCTCTGAATATTATATGAAATGGAATACTGATCTAATGTTCTTTTTCTCTGCAGCGCCGCCGGAACCCGTACGTTTGAATTTTCCCTCTTGATTCTACCCCCATCGTGCCTTTTGTCACACCCACCAAATTTTGTTTCTTTATCGGTCGCTACGGTGCAATAACGATTTGTCCGATTTCGACGCGATAGACCGCTGCTTTGCTCTTGAAATTCTCTATATACGCCGAGATATTCATGAATAGGGTATTGATGGATTTTGTTCTTCAGGTACAACACGCGGTCCAACCAGGTCCGCATCATCAAGACCCCCGGCGGTGAGCTCCGTTACCTTCACATCAAGAAGAAGGGCACTGCTCCCAAGTGCGGTGACTGTGGCATCAAGCTCCCTGGTGTGAGTACTCCCGAATTATCTATGTTGAATGGTGGCGGTGGTGGTTGTGCGTGAACGAGCTGGGAAATGGATTATGGATTGAGAGAGTGTGTGCATGGACGATCGGTTCGACCAACGCACAAGGAAACGACAACAATCAAGCCCACCACCACCACCATTCGCGATATCAAGGATATGAAGGAAGAGTAAAATGGCTGATCGTATCACCCTTTTCCACCGATATAGGTCCCCGCTCTCCGCCCCCGCGAGTACGCTCAGATCTCCCGCCCCAAGAAGAACGTCAGCCGCGCCTACGGTGGTTCCCGCTGCGCCGGTTGCGTCAAGGACCGCATCGTCCGTGCTTTCCTGATTGAGGAGCAGAAGATCGTCAAGAAGGTCCTCAAGGAGTCTCAGGAGAAGGCTGCCGGCAAGCGCTAAATGCATCATAAATATCAATAAATGATGTTTTTTTGTGATTAGAGGAGCGAATATGGAAAAATTTCTTTAAAAAATTTGGCTCGGTCTATGGTTCTTTCATTCTTCAATGAACAAGAACGGCGCGGCTAAAAAAATCGATCACGACGGGGTAATATGTACGGGTCGTGGTTCCCAATGAATGAATTCTTCTATTCATGAAATGAGATTTCCATTTTTTTCACTCGCCTTGACCTACCCCATCTTTCTTTCGTTCTTCTAGTTTGTTGCCGCTTCGATATGCTGGGGTTTGATGCGAACCGTGTTCGTCGCATCGTTCCACACTATAGGCTTTCCAGGAAAGTATGAAATCTTCGATTTCCGTAGACTATGAGGCAAATTCTCCCCTCTGCTCTTATCACTAGGAGATCTAGGGGAGTCATCCCAGTTCGTATTTCTGATGCATACATACATACACTGCCATGACCAACTACACCGAAGAAAATCCCCAGGGTACCAAATCGGCACCAGAACATAAACTACAAACTATAAACTATAATTCCTTCTCCCCCTGAACGCGTAGATAAACTACTAGTACCTGCAGCGGCACAAAAGAAGTAGTACTAAGTAGTCTTTCCCAACATTCCAAATCAGTCAAGTAGTAATCAATCAACCAACCCACGAACCGATCCACCAACCAAGATACAGTAGATGGGTCGATCGAACAAGAAGGCTAGGTACATGAATGGGTGTGTACTGTGTAGATAGTAAGTCCATTCTCTGCACAACCAACCGAAAGCGGAACCGATGGCATATCTCCTCGGAGTCGTAATAATAAATACTAGTAAGTGTACTAAGTTGGGTAAGTTGTGCTGTGAAACCACTCAGCACGTGTGTTTTGAAAGTACGCAGTCAATTAATTGGCTATCAATAGGAGCTTACTTTTAACTTGAAGGTTGATAAATATATATATCTCCAAACTAAGTCAGGTAAGTACGTGTGTGATAGTCGTGATGGTGGACATGGTATCCTGAACTATTATATTCGGGTGAGTGAGACATAAGTACCTATCTAGTATCTACATATCTATCCACCCCGTTCGCTACTTGGCGTGCTTCGCGGAGCACTACACACTTCACGCGTCCGACTTCGGACACTACGCCCTTGATGGGAAGGATATAGGTACCTTGAGAGGGAGGGGGAGGGAAAAGCAAACACCAAGAAAAGAAAAGGAAAAAGCCGCAACACTAAGTACTGCGACTACTACCCGGGGATGTCGAGACTCCGGGCACCTGGTTCAGGATGAGTGGGAAGTAAAAAAAGAAATGGGCAGGGAGTATGACCGAATGGCTTGGTGTTTGTGATACCTGAACATATTCTTGGATTTGACACAGCAGGTTCAGTTCGTTAGGTGGCAGGTTGGCAGACGTAGTTAGTTAATTCATAAGCTGGCGGTATGATAAGTAAATGCAGAGTGATTTGACTGCCCTGCATACAGTTGCCATGTCTGGGCATTATCCAGCACAGCATAGCATACTACCTACAGGAAGTAAGTCAACTGGTGAGTGATAAGGTAGTACATACCTAAGACAAGGTGAGTAACTCGGACCGAGAGGATTAGGGATCATCGGAGTAAGGGAAAATATATAATGGGGTTTACTATCATATGGTAGTAGTTTTACCACTACCCTAGTCGGTGGTCCCCTCGTATCCATTAATATCCCTACTTACCCATTGTCTTCTATCCTTCGGAATACCCGGGCTGTCTTTGTCTCCATTGTGTGTGAAGAGGTAGTAGCGACTGACCGTAAGCACCTAATTAGCAATGATTTAAAACGGGTCAATGATTGTTTCAACACCTTTTCTTTCCCCCCCAAAAGGAATTCTGGCGGCAAAAGAATTAATCCATGAATCATACATCATGATGACAGATTCGCGCACATCTAGTCTGGCCACTATTGAAATAATCCTGGACCCCTGTTCGCCTGCAGATGGCATGCAGCTGACTGACCTGAATGACAGTCTGACAGGCGCGTTAGCCATCGGTCGTTCGGGGGTCGGTTGATCATCCGACATGAAAAATATCCACCCTGCGGCTACTGCTACTGCTGATTTTTTTTGCTGTGGTGGTGGTGCTGTTTGGGCCCTTCTGTCAGTGAAACAAGATGCAGCAAGCAGATGAGCATTAACTTGGCGCTGGAATCGTGGCGGAGTAGGCTAGCAAGTAGTAGATTTAGTAAGGAGTGCTTGATGCTCTTAATGCTGTTTGACAGGGGAGATCGACCAGCTAGCTGTGCTGATTTCTTGGTTCGTTGAGCTCCAATCGAGTGGTAGCAGCAGCAGAGCAGCAAAACAACAACAACCCAACAGTCAGACCAACTTCAACTGACTGCTCTCACCCTGCGTTAGTGCTCATTTCTTTCATTTTGATGTTCCGGATTATGCGAAAGGAGATAAGAAGGGAAAAGGTCACATGTTACGCTGAGGATGGTTCCGTCTGCCTCCTTTTCTCCCTGGCTCATCCATGCCATTCCATGTACTATTCCGTATCTTGTGCCCTCCTCTCAAGCGGTAAGAGGGAGGTGTAAAGTGGGGAGTAGGAAGTGGCTTGAATAATTCCTCTCTGCTTTCCGATGGAGTATCATCGATCGCCCTGTTGACGTGAATATGAAAGATGATGTACTTGTCCTTCGCCGAAGCGGGGTGCAAGGGCAATGACCAAAGAAAGGAAGAGAAGGTATTGGTGAGAGAACCAGATCCGTGGGAAGTCCATATTGCAATCCATTTCTCATAATAGTGAGATGATGATATTAATCTAAAGGCATATGATTTGTGTATTAGGATTCTACCCAAGCCAGCCTGGCCCGACAGATACATACAGCGACACGCCGAGCAAGCTTCTTTGGCCCAGTCGCTTGGCTCATCTGGCATGTGCTGATGGTGACACCAGCCTTAGCCGCTGCTGTGACGGTCTTGAATCAGATATAGTCTCGTGGTCAAATAACCCTAAATCATGAAGGGATGCTATCGTTGTCTATCACGACGCTAAAGTATCAAGTAACATAATGTAGATGATTCGGATCCGGAGGGATTGGCAGGCATCACACCGTTATGGACCGGTCAAATAAAAGGCACAGGGATGGGAGGTGCCACACTTCATGCAAGATACAGGATACATCCTGGCAATGTCTGATGTCGAACCGAGGAGGCAAAGAAGGCAACTACTTACTTCTGACTCGATCAGATTTTATTATCATCCTGTATCTAGGTTGGTCTAGATGATTGGATCACGCTGTGTCAGATCCTCAATTTATCACAAGTGTTATGCCTATACAATTATCAAGGACTTGAATCGCATTGTGGCCTTTGGAAGGTCACGACTACTGCGATTGGCCAAACGGCCGATTGGTGAAGAGGGCGGCAAGGAATCGCGAACGCTCGGAAAGGCGAGTGGGTTCCTGTGAGAGGGGGTTTCTTCTGTGGCGTCCAACTGCTGATTCAACTTGCGGATGCTATCAGGGATGTGAGGAATTCGTGGCTCTCTTGGAAGACACAACTGGCACTAGTTCTTCCCACCGACGGGGACAATCTCATTGATCCTTTGGCCGATTTCTCGCTAGCCGCCTCTAAGTAAATATGTTTCTTGCATCTCGGCAGCCATGTTGGTGATGAGAAGGCCATGTAAGAGCAAATATGCAGAGGCAGTCAGTCATGATAATCGTATATCGCCACCACACCCCCCCCCCCCCCCCCGCGGGTCTGACACGGTTCTAGACTCCAACCCAGCGCCATGGTTAATTGACCTGTCAACGTGCCAGTTGACATCTCCCTTACAGGGCCCAAGCGTGCTTAAGCATAGTGCTCACTTGCGGATGCATTCCATCCGACCGTCCATGCGGTGGGCACCGAACTGTTGCCGATTAGCCTTAAACATTCGGCGCGGCCCATTTTCTCGAGAGTCTAAAGTCACATTAACGTAAACTAAAAGGGGAAAACCAAGATTGAAGGGGGGCTATGGGGCCAGAAGGTACTTTTTGCGCGCAGTTGCACCGCGTTACCATAGTCGGGCGCGCAAGTTCAAAGTTTAATAGCCGCCTTGGATACCCACTGATGTGAAGGATGGCTAAAGGGGAAGGAAGGTGCACCACGCCGGAAATGAAGAAAAAGACGGGAAACCAAGACAACGAAGAAGAAGCAAAAAAAGCAAAATCAAGACAAGAGGGGTCGGAAAAGGAACGTAAGACCAAGGAGAACCTTGCCAGTCAAAGGACCGCAATGATCTAGTCCCGGCGTTCCTCGGGGTGTATCGCAGAGGGGCGCTACTCCCAAGCGAGTAAAAGGTAGCGTAGCGCAGCCCGATGTATGCGGGATGGGGAGAAAGTCGATGTGTGTCCTAATAGCTAGGTAGCAGTTGACTCCTGAGCTGAGTTCTGAGCGCTCCGCATACTTGGAGAGCGACCACCGACTAGATAGCCCGGTCACGATGGATCACTGTCAATGACGTTGGTTTGACCTTCAGAAGAGTCAGTCCTGCTACTGGGATCGAGACTCGCACCATCTGCAGGAAGAAGCTCATGCATCTGCTAGAGTGGGACATGACACCAAGCCTGTATTACTGGGCGGGCGTTGTCATGCTAGGTACCTTCTCATTGAGGCGCAGGGTGAGATTTCACCCTAATCGATATCCTCGCAAAGGCTCCACACCTCTGCGACTGTCATGCAGCGACTAGTTGTAGCTAAGCAGGCATGCTACTCTAGTGTCTTCGTAACCTCGTAGGCCCCGTCATTTCCATCCCGCAGACGACCATTACACGCCAGTATGCTTGGCAACACTGGTTCTTTGGGGGACTGCCGTGTCTCATTGAGCGGACACTCGGTGGTCCGGATCCTTAGTCTTGCTTATTGTTTCAACCCATTCCTATCCTGCTCGTTGGCTACCCGTTCCGAATATGGAGACTGACGGCGGGGGTGTATGTGGAAGTTGTGCACTAGATGTGAAGCTAAGTCAGTAGCTATGCTACTAGAGTGCCTGCAATGCGTAAAATCTGCTGGCGTTGAAACAGATACTTTGTACCTTTACCGTTGGCGATGACAGTACACAGATTGAGGGCATAAACAGTTCGAGAATTTTCTTCTTCAAAGAAAGAAGTAAAAAAGCTGCAGCAACAGAAGCTAGGGTGCTGCCTGTCAGGTACTACTAATCAGGTTTGTATCGTGCCACTGGCAAGAAATGATGCTAATATCCTACTACTGTCCAAACAAATCGGAAATTGAGCGCGTGGGTAAGGGACGAAGATCAATCACGAGAGATTGAAGGACAAGACCACTGCAGACCTGCCGCGTCACGATTCCTGATTGGCAGTAAAGGACGGCTCATTCTTCCATCGAATAAGAGCGTCTAGGCCCGACAAGTTCTTTGGATGATAGTCCTGTACGCAATTATGAGTCGTTGGTAGCGAGCGGAGGAGAAGATGGGGTGGTGGTGGTCGCTAAGCAAGTGACAAGGATCGGAAGAGTTTAGTCGCGGTTAAACCGTGGGGAGGGGAAGATGAAGGAGGGGCAGCTGGAGATTTGGAAATGGGAAGAGGCGATGGGCCTGCAAACTAGTAGATCCCTTGGGCACCCATCCCCGATTGAATGAGGGAAAACGGGCAAATCGATCAACTAAAAAGAAAAGAAAATTTGGCGAAAAAGTACTGGACCCGAAAGAAAAGCGGGTGGAAGGGTCGAAGAACGAAGATACGCCGGAGATGCTGCCTGCACGCAGGGCATGCAGATGAGTTAACAGACTTTTTCTCACTTGTCTTTTGTCTTTCCGACAGCCTGATGGGGAGGCGACGAGCCCAGAGTCGCCCTGAAGTCCAACAAACAGCTCGTGATTCGTACTGCCCCGACGTTGACATGAAATCGGAGTCTGCAGCTAGTCGACCGAGCCATACAGACATAGCGACCATTTTTGCCGGGATCCGGTTGATCCAAGTCGTTCATGTTTCATGCTTCTCAGCTAATTCTCTCTATGCGTGCCTTCGCCTAATAGGTGATCATACTCTTAGATGCATCACGTTTGGTGTCAGCATTATACCCCCTCCCCAGTCACTAATTTCTTACTCCCGTTTCTTTCCATAACCCACCAGATCAGGCTCAGGATGTCTTAGCGAGAATTAGAAAATAGGAAAAAGGTGAAGTGATAAAAAATAATCAAAAAAGAAAAGAAAATAATTGAGAGATTTTAGCGCCACATCTCTTCGCATTTCGTACTCTTGATATGAGGCCCACCGCGGACTATTCGTGTTCATAACCAATGAAGAATGGCACAATATTACTTGGACCTAGGGTATGTAAGAGGAAAACAGTAACGAGTTTACATGTAAATTAAAGACAGAAGCCAGATGAATAAGAAAATGAGATTTGGATCGAGCTGGTGTAGTTATAGTGATAATAATAAAGAAAATATGATAAAAGTGAGGAAGATCGAAATCCCGATACGGTAAATGCACAGCCCAAAACCCAAGCCAGACAGGGCTATCAATCAAGTCGTACAATACACCCAAATATGCAAGTCAGCCAAAATATTTCTATCGATCTAGTGTTGTTGCACCGAGCTCATGCTATACTCCCATCTGGAGATCCGTGGAGATTCTTGGGCCACCCAGTAAGCCAGTAGGGAATGAGTGGACAGCCGCCCCCCAGCCGAGAAAGCCAGAGTCCAACGCTACACAGTCGGGCCCTGGTCCCGCCATGTCGCAAAAAAGGGGAGGACATGGAGCGGGATCTGCGCAGCCAACAACGCTTCCCAAATCGAATGGCTCGCTGGATAAGCGAGTCCCCGACGGGCTCAGTCCGGAGACTTGGAAGGGTGACATTATTGTGATCCCGGTCAATGTTCCCGCAGTGGTATTGTAATGCGTGAACACATTCTCCGTCGGTCGCGGCTGTGATGTCACTCGTGGATGGTATCGGCCTTTGGGCAACTCTTCCCCGTTCATCCGCCCTCGAAACTTTGATTTGATTTTAGTAGCTTTCCCTCCCTTAGCCCCGGATCGCTGGCGTTGAGGCGCCGGTGGATCCGAGCCCAAGGCCTTTCTGTAACTCGCCTGCTTCCGGTACCGAGTGGTGGATTGGACGCCATTCTTGATGGCTTCATTAGTTAGGCGCCAGTAATTCACAGCTTTCTTTCCGGGTGTCGCTTCTTCCCGGACTGCCTCAAATCCCTATAGTATAGTAGCGTGTCTTAGTATACAGTAAAAAATAATGAAGCAAGGATGAAAATTGGGGGAGTGGAGATCAGGCGAACTCACTGCGTTCATGGACAAGTTGTGCCGTACACTGTTTTGCCAGCCTTTTGAGCTGAGATCTCTCCCCTTTGCTGTGTTTTGTTCGAACCAGTTGTATATCCCTTGGAGGGACAGCTTCTTTTCCGGATTGGTCTTGAGGGCCATTTCGATAAGCTTAGAATAAGGTTTATCATCAATACTGTCGGGAGAGTCCGGCGTTTCCAGCTTCAGCGAAGGGTAGGTTAACGCCGAGATTGCCGGTGACGGTGGTGGCAAGCTTGCTGTAGGACAAGCCGTTTCACAGGCATCTGACCGTGACATCCCCGATGAAGTGCGATAAGAAGAAGTAGACTCATGCGAGCATGAGGAGATGGATCCTGGCTCACACAGCCAGTCTGATGGTGCTTTGCTGTCATCAAGGCGCCGTAGTCCGGGCTTAAGTTGCCTTGTCCTGGAGCCACCAGCTGCCGCCAACGAGGATGGTCTGGCAGGTGTCTCAAGACGATGAGATGGCAGTAAACGAGGCAACCCTCGTTCCGGTAGAGAGGTCGGAGCCGGAAGTGATGGGGGCAGCGCCATCTTCCATGAATATTGGTGCTGAGGAGACAGTAACATCGGCTCTCCAGGGCTTGCAGAGCTGGAACACGTCCAGTTCCCGATTGCCGAACAGGGATCACGATGGTGAGAAGGGTCCAAACGAACGCCATCCGAGACGGAAGTGGGAGGGGTCTCTGTTTGTCTGGTGAAATCACCAAGCCCACGGCCAAATGGAATCGAATCCGAGGGTAAGCCATGAGGGGGGTAGAAACGATCCATGTCGTCCTTACAAAGAATCAAACTTGTCGCAATCCGTTTCAGAAGCTCTGGCCTGACAAGGTAGCGCCTGGGGATTAATACAAGGAGGATAAGAGTAAGAGAGGGAAGCGAGGGTACACAAAACGTGCCAGGTGGGTGATGAAAGCCCTGTGAGAAGGGGAGGTCAAGCAAGAGGGGCTGGCTAGAAAATAAATATAAAAAGACGTGCGACCACTCAGGACGAGAAGACTCTATAGTTCACTGGGAGCTGTGCGGCCGAAGAAATGCCAGCTCATGAGAAATTCTTCCCTTTTCTTTTCTTTTTCAGTTTCTTGCTCCTCCTTGCTGCACGAAGCCAGCCAGCACGATGCATTTCCCTGACAAACAACCGTGGCTCTATGTATATGTTGGAGGCAGATTTGCCCGACGAACCCCAGAAGCAGCAAAAGAAACGAAATTCGGGAAATTTTGGTTAATTATGACCCGGGAACGAAAAGGATGTGACAATATCAGAAATAGAAAAATAAAAGAAAGGGGAAAAAAGGAAATGGAAAATGAATAAAATTGGATAAAGATTAATAGAAATAAAAAAACAACTAGACAAAATCAAAAGGGAAAATAAAAAAGAAAGACCTCTCTGTTGTCCCCAGCATGTGCTCTGGGGAAGGTTCTGGCTGGGGGAGGTTCTGGCCGGAGCAGCTTCGTTTCTACCGCGGGAATCGCCATCAGGTTGTGGAGTAGCGATCTAGCGGTGCAGCTGTGGCCAATGAACTCAGTGGGCCTAAAAAGAGAATGAATCTGGTGCTTACAGGGGGGGGGGGGGCGGCTGTCATGGTCGTACTTTGGACTACTACAACACTGGGCCGACGGGGGTTGGAGTGGGTAGCTTTCTGAATGGCGGCCACCTGCAGAGGGCCTGCTATTATTGCGCTAACGACGACCGACTGAACAAAGGGCGGGTGCAGAACTCCAGAGGACTTGCCATTGGGCCCTTTTCCTAGCAAGAGCCATCAGCACTCGAGAAGATCAGAAGACTAAGTAAAGAGTATTTTCCTGCAGATACTCCAACCTACTCCCGATTCCCCGACCAGCCGGAACCCTGAGAGGAACATGCAGCAGGGTGGCATGGTTTGACATTATGGAAAAGCCGCACCATGGTTGCGGCCTTTCCTTCGTCCGTGGAGGCAATGCGAATCAAGCCAGACCAGGCTAATTAGAAATAAAGTTAGAGATTTATAGCATTTAGGTCCATTTGATCGGCAGACCAACAGTCCCAGGTGTCGAGACTACTCATTGGAAAAGTTGGGACAGGTGGTGACCTCCACGAAGCGGGATGGATGGAGATCGCGAGGAACAATGGGCGAAAAATGAGGGAATGCGGTTCAAATAAGCATGGCCCGCTACGCACATGTGGAAACTTTGATCTGCGACGTCCGATAATGTTGGTTTCAAGTCAATATGATATATCCTAGCTTGGCCGAGATGGGATCCAATGCCGTAGGAGGAGGTTAAAGTTTCCAGCCCAATAAGGTTGACCTCTGCGGTAGGCGGGACGGTGACCGACGACGGATCCCGAGCGTGGTGGAACCTTCAAGGTCGTCAGTCCCATCCCAACCAACAACACTGTACACCATTGTGGTCCAGTACGAATCCTTCGAGCGACAACCATTACTTCCGGTAGTAAATCTGGGAACTATTGTGAGTATTTGCCAGATGTCATGACCTGAGCGACAGAGGGTACTTACTCGTTTGAATTGGAAGTGTAGTTGCAAGATTCCCTACAATCCTGTAAGACTCTTTCTGACAGATTTGCTTGTTTTTTTGACATACCTTATCAAATGTGCTCTTGAACCCTCTTTCTCTCTTTGCACTGTAATCCCATTCCTTATCGACGATCCGAAAGGCAATGTCCTCGTACGGCGGACCGGCCATAAAGCGAATCAAACAAGTATCCTCCTCCCCAGCCGCTGCAAAGGATTGTCCCCGCTTTCGTCCATGCTCTCGTTCGATGCGGTAGGTCGGTGCTTTTGTCTTGTCAATCAGATCAGGGTAGAAAATATTGAACTTGTACCCTTGCACAACTTTCGGGGGCGGGTTATCATGGTCATAATGAGTCTGATTGTATTTGTTCCACTCATAACCCATTTGAACACGGTTAAAGTAGCGTGGTTTGCGGGGCCGGTGTTTGCTCGCCCATCCTGGCTGAGATGTTGTGCTCACAGCTTCCTCACCGGTAAATATCTCCTCGTTTTCACTGATTCCCTTGGCCAATTCTCGCTCATAGAGCGCCTTGGTTGCCTGCGAGAAGTCTTCGTTAGGAATCGAGGAGAATCGCGTCGAGGCTGTGGCGATTGGAGCGGTGATTGCTTGATTGATTGGGAGCACCGACGGCTTTTCTGCCTGCCGTTGACGGAGAGGAACATATCCCATCTTTAAAATCTTCTGTCGGTCGCGGGCCTACAAAGAGTCAGTCCCGGCCACGTTGGGCAGTAGTGAGTGTAGCCTACCACTTGGTTAAGGAATGCATCTTCGTCCACCAACTCCAAGACCTTATCTTCCGGTCGGATCTGAAGCAATGGGTCAGGGTCGAGTTCACGATATTCTCCGCTATCGACTGCATCTGAGGCTGCTTGAATAATTGGCGCCAGAGGGGCCAGCTTCGCCTGCACAGACGCAGCTTCTTCAGACTGCTGTTTACGCAATCCTCGAACTCTCTCATCTATAACGGCTTGGTAGACCTTCTTCAGCTTCGCCCGAGCCTTCCAAACAGTAAGGCTGCGCAAAAGCTCTTCCCAGTAGTCGGTATCGATAGGCTCGTTTGAGTCCAGCTTTTTCCTAACTTGTATTTCGAGTGTTTGTAGCTGTTCGTAAGACTTAGGGCTCAATAATCTGTTTATATCTGCGGCCACAGAGCTGATCGCACGTCCTTCGGAGGCGGTGGTCTTCTGACGGTTTCGACAAATCACCTTCATGGTCTGCAATAAGGACAGTAAATTAGCCTGTAGCCCGAATAGCATGCTTAACAGAAGAACCATACCTTCCAGAAATCCCTATTTTGCGAATTCTTCTCAAGACTCAAGAAAGTTTCGATATCCTGTTCCAAATCGAGTAGCTGGTCCTGGGATAGACCCTCAAATACACCATCCGGATCTACTACATCGAGCTCCGAGTCCGCAATCTCATCGTCCAAGGGATTCCGCGTTGGATCAATCACCCGTAATGTGACAGTGAGCCAGTCAATGGGCTTTGCTCGACCCTCCTTCACTCTGATCTCTGCCTTCTTTTTCGCCTGCTTGAGAACGAATATGTCCTCTTGCGCCACCCATTCACGCACTTGCTCGTCTTCCTGAAGCTGATTAAGCCGGACCTGATCCCTCATGTTCCGAGGTCGGTTTTGTGGCGACCGCTCATCTCCATTCTTCCTATCGCGATATCGATCCGTTTCGTCATATCTGCGCGGGGCTTTTTGAGAATGGCGAGGGGAGGGCGATCGAGACCGACTTCGCTTCGAACCCGTGCGATCGGGCATTCGATATGACATCTTGGCACGTTTTCAATCTGTTTTCCGAAGGGAACTAATATATCGATGAGTAACGCAAAATTAATTGTTAACTATCTCAAAGATGGATGCGAAGAGACTCAAAAATCGTGAGGTCTGACATAGTTTCCTCCAAGCTTCTGGAGAAACGGGTGGTCGCGCGCCAAGAATGGGAGGTATAGCGACCGGCAAAATTTCCCTAATGGCCACGTGCCCCGAGCGGCTCCATGTGATCCACCGCGGGAGGGAGCCTTGGAGGAGCTTCCCACACCTTTCCATCTAACTACTCTAGAACCACCCATCAAAACACCCGCAAGCGACACTCGAGAGATGTCTGCGAGGTGGGAGAAATTGCACATATCAAATCGTGCGCCTGCGCCACTTCTCCTTTATAGATACACCCTTTTCAGAGATGGATATGAGTTGTACCTGACCGATCTCACGTATATTTGGTCCGAGCGTCCTAACCGCCAGCATATTCTGGGAAGGGCTGTTGAAGATGATGCGACGATTGACCCCAGCCAAGACATAGATCAGTTCAATATTCTTTTGGAGAAACTAGGGGAGGCCCTACGCAATGATCCGGGAACCAGCACGGTGCTAAGGCGTGGACGGGAGAATGATACTCTACACCTGATCACCACAACAAGCCTACCGGCCCCACTTGAGCCTTTGGAATGGAATTTCCATATGGCTAGGGAGAAACAGCGCTTTTCAACTACTCAGCTGCTTATCCCGCTGATCAAGTCTGAGGCTTATTTGGAGTTGCGCCTGCGGGATTTAATCGAAGTGGTTAAGAAGAAAGATTGGCTGCTGTCAAAGCTATTCGATAAGCTTGAAGCCGTCGGGTTTGATCTCAGCATTATCTTCCCTAGTATCCCCGGACTCAGGGCCAGCCACAAAGGTTCAGCGCAATCACAGGCTGCCAAGTATATCACTGGAGCGAGGCCTTTTGACGAGGAATCTTGGCTCGATGAGAACAACGCGATAACAGCTGAGACTGGATTTGCATCCTCCATTCTGGAAGAAACAGAAGATTCCAATATTGATGATAATCTTCTGCTACTCGAGGATCTGACGGCGCCATCAGAAGGATGGTGGAGAAAAATGTCCACAGCTAACAATAACACCGAAGACGTAGATGCCAGGACTCCAGAGGACTCGACAAATATGGAGACTACGGACGGAGGTTTGGAGACTGAAGATGATTTTGACGATGACGATGACGATGATGATTTTGAGGTATGAAGCTTCCCACATGATGCATTGCCGTTTATTCACATGTACATTTCAGCGACAAGAGACCCCTCCGAGACTCGGACTTCAGCCAAATCACCAAACTCCCCCTTTGGGGCCAGATGAGGGAACAGCAACAGAAAGCGAAGACGACCTTGAAGGTCGAAATGGGGGGCCAAGTACAGCGAGGCCTCGAGCACCACAACTCACTTCAAGAGGCCTTGCAACGATTGGAGGCAACAGAAAA